CCCAGTGAGTACTAGTATAAGAAAAGGCATGCGCAAAGCAAAAAGAGCATGGAAGGGCAAATTCTTGGGAGGAAGACAGGCAGGGAACACGTTTGTTAGTGAAGGCACTCTGCCACGGAGGTGGCATGAACTGACTAGCAAAAATCAAGCTTTGCCAAATGGAACAGAAGTTAAAGAGCACTCTTCAAGCAGGGGGAGGTGCATCGGTCCCAGCGGGAAAAGGAACAGCACACAGATGTTTTAGAGACTTTAAGTTTCTAGTAACAGATAACGGACCTCTGTTCAAAGCACAGAAATTGTGAGTAATGAAGACACTTTCTAGAATTCGATAATGTAATTTGATATCAGTTGAAGTCAATGATGAAAAATTTGGACTTGTAAATTTGTAGGCCTTTTTCTTCATTTCCAATCTGTCCTAGATAGTGGCTTTTTAAAAAATACAATAAAATTAATTTGTTAAAAAAAAATGGAAGTGTAAACAAAAACTGGTCCTTCACCATAGGTATTTTGAGAACCTTAGAGAACAAGATGCAGGATGGCGGGATGGAGGAAGGACAACTGGAGATAAAAATTTCATAATCTATTTTGCTTAGAAAAAGAGAGAACATGCTCATATAGGGCGGGGCAGGGAGAAGGGGAGGAGAGGGAGAAGGTGGGTGAGAACGTTGGGCAAAGCTCCATGCCCAGTGTGGGAGCCTGTCCTGGGGCTCAATCTCACAACCCTCAGATCATGACCTGAGCTGAAATCAAGAAGAGTCAGACACTCAATTGGCTGAACCACACAGGTGCCCTATTAGTAATCTTTCTATAAGTAAATGCAAATAACTAACTAACTAAATAAATAAATGAGGTTTGAAAATTACTCTAGTATATCTAGTATATCTCTGATCTAGAATGAGGAAATTCTGCTTATCTAAATAACATGCATAAGCTGTACTGTTAGCATCACTAACTTCAAAGTGCAAACCTCAGGCCGTGTGGTTGGAGGGCAGAGAATCAAGGAGAGTATCAGATTCACTACAATTATTTTAAGTGAGAAAAACCAGAGTGTGAATAAGAAGAGAAAGTGAATGGACACTCTTACCAAGACATTTTAAAATTATTTTAATTATTTCACTCGAAAATTTTCATGAGAGACAAAAAAACCTGAGTTGACATGGAGGCTTGGTGTAGTGGGAAATTTTCCTCTCAAAATGATGTTGGTTGTATCAATTAAGGTACTAAGTAAAAGACTTCAAAAAAGCCAATTCTTTAATGACATCAAGTTCAGCAAAATATTAATTATATTAACAGTGCCCATTGTAACAGTGAATTAGGGCCTGTCACTCTCCTATGGTCATTATATTATTGGGATCACTGAATTATTTTATCAGAGAAGTAACAGAAGCGAACTGGAAGTTTTAGGAAAATGTGGTAGTTGTGGAGACAAAGGCATAAGTAAGCAGGCTTCCAGCACAAGCATTCCAGATGAGGTATGCACTCTGAGACTAGATGCTGGCTGTGAGAAAGGAAATTAAAGAGTAGGTAGAAGCAATGCTGGAAATCAATACTTCATTTGAGCCCATCAACCACATTTTCTTGCCCAGGTTGTCCACAAAGCCAGGGAAACATCAGCTGAGAAAGACAAGTTAGTTTATGGGAATTAATTCCAACTAAAATAACTCACTTAGATTCTGGATTGATCTTGGTTTCACCAGTACCACGTTCTCCACTGATTACCTTGCATAAACACTTTTTTCAAAGTGTTCTTTCTTTTTTCTTTTCTTTTCTTTTCTTTTCTCTTTTCTTTTCTTTCTTTCTTTTTTTTTTTTTTTAAGATTTTATTATTTATGTGACAGAAGACATCACAAGTAGGCAGAGAGAGAGGGGGAAGCAGGCTCCCTGCTGAGCAGAGAGCCCGATGTGGGGCTCCATCCCAAGAGCCTGGGATCAAGACCTGAGCGAGCAGAAGGCAGAGGCTTCAACCCATTGAGCCACCCAGGCGCCCCTGTTTTTTGTTTTCTCCAGTAGGCTCCATGCTGGGTGTGGAGGGGGGGCTTGAACTCATGACCCTGAGATGAAGACCTGAGCTAAGATCAAGAGCCAGATGCTTAATTGACTGAGCCACCCAGGTGCCTCTCAAAGTGTTATTTCTTAAATTAAAAACATGACTTTAAGAAATGTTATATAAAGGTTGGAGAAGGCATTTCATGGAGATGATTAGACTCACTTTACCAGCCTGGTGACCTATTCTGTTAGAACCAACTAAGTTACTGGCCATTGTCTTTTCATACAGATACTTCTATAACTGATAGAAAAGTTCTAGCACTTAAAACTGTTTTGAAATAGTTATGTGCATTGAAATAGCTATCACCAATGTAATCGAACTAGGAAAAAAAACATACATTAAAGAACTCTTCCCAGTGAGAACTCATGAGATATAGCAATAAAAACTCTACTTAATGAGAAAATGAGTATATTCAAGTACTTAAGCTAAATTGATTTATGGCCAATTATCTAATTCCACTGGAGACAGTCACTCTTTTTATATTATCAGTATTTGCCAAAATCAGCTAACAAATGCTGCACTCTGAAATAAACAGAGCACAGAAAGTATATGGAGTTCTAAAAGACAAAAAAAAGGTGATTTTATTTTATTAGTTATGTGGGATGACTACTTATTTTGTTCAAAAGAAGGAGCTGACAAGGGAGCAAAAGAGATCTCACTTAAGGCACTGAGAAGCTTTATAAACACTTCATGCTTTATATGGTTTGCAATATTCATTTAATCAAATTCTTCTTTTTTCCTAATCACCCTCCTTAGCCTCTCATTCAGGACATTACTCTACTTAAAAAACATGATGTACTGGGGCGCCTGGGTGGCTCAGCAGGTTAAGCATCCAACTCTTGATTTTGGCTCAGGTTATGATCTTGGGGTCGTGAGACTGAGCCCCGTATAAGGCTCCCGAGCTCGGTGTGGAGTCTGCTTGAGATTCTCTCCCTCCCCCTCTCCCTTCTCTCCCCCACCTTCTCTCTCTTCCTTAAAAAAAAAAAAAAAAAAAAAAAGTGACCGTACCCGTTCTTGGAGTGTAGCTGTATGACAGACAAACCATAGTAAAACCTCATGGAATATATTAATTCAGAGTCTTCAAATGTTTTTCTATCAAATACTAGTCTAAATAAGGCCCTCCTTTTGGAAACTGAGAATTCAATGGCTGGTTGATGGAATGCCTACTGAAATGATATTTTATATAATGACAACTTCTCCCAAATTTATTTGACCATGGAGTCTCATTCAAAACACAATTTAGAAAACATATACTTAACATATTCACTTTCAAATCTTGAAAAAAACTTAAATATACATAAATGATTATCACAAATAGCTCATTTGTATATGCTTTCCAAACTATTCATTGTACATTCTAAATAATCTGTCTTTTCTATCTGGGAGAAAGATCTAAATCTGACCATTTTTCAAGGACAACTTATTGGCTAAGTAAATTTCTCAGCTGGCTATCTATGATTTATTTATCCAACTGGCAAAGTGGTGGTCGGTACTTGGTACAACAAAGGCATTGACAAATAAAGAACAACAACAAACTAATTGTATCTTGCGGGTCACAAGAATATGCATGATTATAATTTTCATTTTAATGAAATTAAAAGTTGGGAATTGGGGTGCAGTAACAACTTAGCTCATCAAATATAAGAACAGATTTCAGACTATCAGTCCTTAACACATAATTATACCTGAATGAAAGAACTCAGCATTTAACAAATAAAAGTCTGGCTGATTTAAAATCTTGATTTAGGGGAAAAAAATAGTATGTGAGTATGTGACAAATGACGAGCAGCCAAATAATTATTAGTAACTGTAATTTTTATTAAATAAATGTTTTAAAGATTTTCTTGCTTAAACTACAAAAATAAACAGAATTAAAATAAGAAGGAAGTAGAATGATTAAATAACTTAATTACTAGGTTTTCTGAATATAATCAGAATAGTAGAGAAAGAGGAATTTGTATTATCACTGTGCCAACCATATGACACCTTAGATAAGGAACAAATTTGATTCAAAGTTGCCATTCTCCTTTAGAAACATCAGGGTCCATTAAAACACCATGAAGTTCAGGATAGCCTATCTGTTTTCTTCCAATAAGAGTTTTCAGCTAGCTAATTGAAAGTGAACTCTTCACAACTATTGATGAGCACAATAATTAATCACTATGTCCTTTCCCAGTTTATTTGGAGTGCTTCTCTGCCCAGGCGTAAGCAGCACAAAGTCCAAGAGCTTAAGACATGACAAATTCATTTAGGTTCTAGCTCTACTAGATAACAGGAGTGTTAATCCACATAGAATTAGCCACTCACCCATCTCTTTCTGTTGTACTGTCCACTTTCTTGTGTTAATTTAATCAGATCATTTTATCGCTTCTCAGAAATGCTAATATACTATTTGCCTTATAAGAGGTAATCATTTTACCTAATTCAAAAAGTAATCATTGATTTAGACTATAATAATCCCACAATAACCAAACATGCTTCTATTTTTCCTCAAAACAATAATTAACTTTTTATCTGAAATCAGATTGCTATTTCAGGCTTTATATTAACTGTTCATTTTCTCTGTTTTTTGGTAAAAACAAATTATCATCAACACAAACACTATTTCTAATTTCGAGCTTCCCAATCCCCCACTCCAGAAGTAAGCTACTCCTTTGAATTCTATAGAATATTTTTTTCTGTCTTTCTTATGGCATTTAAGCTCTTTCTACTACTTGATTAAATTTATCTGTACTTATCCTTTCTCAGTAAGTTCCTTAGGATTGTATCTTATTCACTATCGACTTTTTTGTTTGTTTTAAACCACATTGTGCCTAATGAAATAATTTGCACAGATAAAACACAAAACATAAATCTGGTGATTACAAGCTAATTTATCACTAAGAAAGGATTCTCCAAAATATATTAAAATCACCATGATTAAGCCTTAAGAAGTCAGGAAAAATATTCTCACCATCTGTCTCTGAGGTCTGTCTCTACTTTCTGAGAAAGGAAATGGAGAAGGCTGTTGAAAAGGAGCTCTGGTGTCATCTGGAGTCTTTAAATTCCCCGTTCCTCCTCCGGTCTAGTGTGTACCTGAGGAAAAGGAAAACCAGACTCTGGAATATTTTTTGTGGAGCTCTGTAAACTTTTCCCTGTATATTTTCTGTTCAAGCGCAATGTAGAAGTAGTCATTTAACAGAGAAATATAGTTTTATGAAATAGGGATCACTGATTAAGGGAAACTACGTAACTTTTGCTTTCTAGGCAATACATTTGATCAAAGTAGATGTTTCAAGGCAACTGTGAATAAGCTTTACAGTTGCTAGGATGTGCTTGTTAACCTCTGTTAATTTCAAATTTCTGTCAAATTATTCCAATTAAGTCACATCTAAAAATTCTAAATCCTCCCAAAGGTATATTTTAAAAAAAAAAAAAAAGGAAAGAAAGAAAAAAGAAAACTAAAAAGGAAAAAGGAAAAATAGATGTTCATATTAAGCTTTTTCTGTTACAAAATACTCCCTATGTAACCTTCTAGCACAAAATTTGTAGTAAATATCAAATGCCTTACGTCCAGAGACCGACTTGCACACCAATCTCCAAAGCAGCTTTATTTTAAGAAGTCAAAAACTGGGAACAACTCAAATGCCTTTCAGTAGGTAAATGAATTATGGTATACCCATACAATGGGATATTTACTACTCAGCAACAAAAAAGGATGCACGATTGATATAAACAACAGCACGGATGAGTTTCAAAATAATTATGCTGAGTGCAAGAAGCCAGACAAAAAGGAATACACAGTTTGTAATTCCATTTGCATAAAACTGTAGAAAATGCAAAGTAATCCACAGGGAAAGAAAATGTTTCAGTGGTTATCTGGGGATGGAGGGGTGGGATGGTGCAAGAAGGAAGGATTACAAAAGGACATTACCTTAACTGTGTTGGACATGGGTGTATACACATTCAAAATTGATCACGCTGTAAACCTTAAACATGTGCAGTTTATTAGATGTCAATTACGACTTAATAAAGCTACAAAATATTAAATTTCTTCAAATGTTGTATGCCCCTTGGTGTAGCAATTCCAAAACTAGGATTTATCATAATAAGAAAAAAAAAATGAGGACATATACAAGTATTCAGCCATAAGGATGTGACAATATACATTATTTCTAATAGTAAAAAAAAAAAATTGAAAACAGCCATTAAATGTAAAATAACAAATTTGAGACAGGTTTAATAAATTCTGGCATATTACATGGTAGGATACTATGTAGCCACTAATATATTATATAAAAAATTATAGGCTATCATTCCATATAACATACACCGAGTGATAAAAATAGGAAACAGAGCACTATGTTCAGTATAGCTGAATTTGCTTCCAACATATATGAAAATAAATGTAGCAATTATTTCTGCATTTAGAGGTAATTTTTATTTTTCCTTTTTGCTGATTTATAGTCCCTAGTTTCTTTTTTCTTTATAATAAACACACATTACTTTGGTAAAATAAAATGAATTAAAGGATAAAAATACCAACAGTCTACAACTGTCCACTCCCTATACGAGTAAAAGACTCCTCAGAGCTGGTGCCCATTACAGAGCTCTGAGCTATCATGTCACTTCCACCAGTGACCTACCAAACAGTCATGAGAAAAGGGCAGGTCTGACAGGATAAACTGGAGTAATAATTAGTAATCTACGTGCTTTACAAAGCGCTTTCATGGGCATGACCTCATTTTGTCTTCGTAACTCAGTGAAACGAGCAGAGAAGGCATGATCCCATTTTACAGAGGGGAAACAGACATCTGAGCAAGGCCAATCAAGTGTCATGTTACAAAATTACGAATCTTGGATTTAAATTGAGTCTTGACTATAAATTCTGATAGGAATTCTAAGAGAAACAGGGAACAATCACTTCTGATTATTTATAACTAGAAGGCAGTGATTTATATGTGAATTTAAAAATAACCGTATTTGCAATCATATTAGCATTCCTATTAGCATCTGCTGGGGGCCTTAGGGATTTCCTAAATCCCCAGGGCCCAACCTCAGAAGCTATACCCTGGCAACCCCATCTTGCCCCTTGTCAACATTACCTACTAAAGCTCTGAAATTCAAGTAGAATTTAATCGTTTAATTTTCAGTTGTAATTCTTTCCTTCTTGAAAAATAAAGAAAATGTATTACCTTTTATTTTAAAGTGGGTAAAAGAAAGTAACCATAACTATATACATAAATTTATGAATGCTACAAACATTGACTTATAAGAGGTCAAAAGATCTAACTTAATGGTATTTTAAAATACCACCTTTGGGGCCAAATCTTTTTTGGGAACATGCAGACAAGAAAGAGTCTCCAGATGACTCCAAGTATACTCAGTGAAGAAAATGATCAATTCCTCACAAAAATACCAGTAACCATCTTCAGAGGCATAACATTAACAAGCTGGTCAGCATCTGCTAATGAGGCCTTGAAGCATTAGGAACCCTTGTAGCTAGCATTCCTACCAACATGCCCACGACTACCAGAGACTTAAAAGGTAAATAATGGTAGCCTTGTTTTCTGGGTGCTTAGTGTGTATCAGAAACGCTAGTGTGTCTAGTGTGTATCAGGTTATATACATGATCTTTAAAACGACCTAATGAGGTGACTATCATCAACCCCACTTTATAGATGAGGAACCTGAGTTTAAATGGCCCCAAATCAAAATACCAGTAAAAGCTTAAAGTGGAATTCAAATCTGGTATATTTTACTTGCAACAAAAATGGGGCCTTGGCAGTTCTCTGGAAGAGACATCTGACTTTTCTCTAGCATAACCCACCTACAGTGGTCTCAGTTCAGGCAGTACAAAACACTTGGCAATGGTATATGAGATTCATGAGTCTATACTTTCCATGTAAAGAGAAAAATATCCAGAGCCCAAAATTTGTGTCTGATATTTTGCCACATTCTACAACAGTTTAATGGCTAGTTTCCATTAAAGCACTATTTAACCCTTTCGAGCCAACACGATCACATGAAAGATAAATTAAAAGAATATTTAAATAAAAGTTGGCAAAAGGTAATATTAAAGAAACTATTCTCATAGATTAATATCTTAAGACTGTTTTATATTAGTGAATGAGTAAATCAGTCTTAAATACAAGTCAGTGGAACTGTACTTCCCAGATGTTTGGGATCATGAAGATAGGAAGCATTTCTATGAATAAGAAAGTAATTGTTATAATTATAGAAATATAATATTCCATAGAATATTATGTGATCATCAAAATACATAATTTCAAATAATATTTAATGACAGATACGGCAAAATGAATGTGAGGCTAAGAAAGCAAGACACTCAACTATCTGTTGAGCTGAACAAATTGTAAGGGGCTAGGCACTATGCTTGGTGTCGGAATTATAAAGTGAATAAGACAAGAACAATGCTAGATGCTGAGCTACCCTTCATGTATGTTCTCTTTGCCTGATCAGGACCTTCAGGTTGTCTAGAAAATCAGTTTTAATGTCATTTCCTCAGAGAAGCTTGTCCACATCACTTTACATAAAGTAGCTTCCCCTTTACCTCTTATTTTGTTTAAGCTCTTTATTTTGTTTTCTGTTTCCCTGATTTTCTTTTATCTGCATCTACTGAGGTACTTAAGAGGCTCTTGTCCTTTTATTCTATTAATAAGATATATTACATAATTGATTGTTTCAGAGTGAAAACACTTCCTTTCTGAGACAAACATCTACAACTAACACCATACTTCATGGTGAGAGACTGAATGCTCTGTCCTACTGCCCTACAATCCTGGTAAAAAGGCAAGAGGCCTGCTCTAGACACCACTATTCACCATTGGACCAGAAAGTTTACTCACTGCAGTAAGACCAGGAAGAGAAAGACACATAAATTGGGAAAAAAAAAAAGAAAAAGGTTAAAACTCTTTGCAGGCAACGTTATCTTCTATGAGATAATTCTAGGAAGTCTACAAAAAAGCTACTAAGAAAGTTTAGAAAGGCTGCAATATATAAATCTATATATCTACATATAAAATATAATGGAATTCCATATAATGGAATATTATTCAGTCATAAAAAAGAATGAAATCTTGCCATTTGAAAAGATATGGATGAGCTAGAGAGTATAATGTTAAGTGAAATAAGTCAGAGAAAGATAGATACCATACGATTTCACTCCTATGTGGAATTTAAGAAACAAAACAAACAAGTAAGAAAAAAGAAAGAGAGAGTCGAACAAGCTAAGAAAAGACTCTTAACTACAGAGAACAAACTGATGGTTGCCAGAGCGGGGGGATGTGGATTAAGAAGTGCATTTGTCGTGATGAACATGGGGTGATGTATGGAATTGTTGAATCACTACACTGTTCACTTGAAACTAATATAACATGTATGTTAACTATTCTGGAATTAAAATTAAAGAAAATTAAAACATTCTTAGCAAAAAAAAAAAAAAAAAAAGATGGCAAGTCTCCCCATACTGATCATCATCAAAATACCACCATAGCTTTTTTTTTTTTATAGAAACTGATTCTAAGATACACATGAAATTGACTCTAAGATATATATGAAAGATATATTTATATACATGCCCACATATATATATATATATACACACACACACACACACACATATATCTTATATATCATATATAGACATATGTAAAATCTAAATAAGGATTTAGAATATCCAAAACAATTCTGAAAAAGAAGATTAAAGCTTTAGGACTTACATTACCTAACTTCAAACCTTACTATAAAGCTATAAAAACCAACACAGTGTGATATTGGCATAAAGACAGACATACAGATAATGAAATTGGATAGAGCCCAGAATAAACTCTCACATTCATGGTCATTTGAATTTCAACAAATGATGCTGGGACAGGTCAAAAATCACATGCAAAAATAGACAAGTGTCAATCTTTCACAACATACAAAAAAATAACTTAGAATGGACCATAGAGGGAATTATAGAACTAAAACTTCAAAACTTCTAGGAGGCATAGAAAAAAGCTTGTAACCTTAAGTTAGGGAAAGAGTTCTAAATATGACAACAAAGGCGTAGTCTATTAAAAAATAAACAAGAAAAATGGAAAAATTAGACTTCATCAAATTCTTCAAAAGTCATAATTTAGGTAAAAGACAAGCCCCGAAATGAGAGAAAATATGCGCAAATCATACAAATGATAAAGAAATGGTGTCTAACATATTAAAACCCTCAGACCTGAAGAATAAGAAGATAAAACGATTTTTTAAAATGGGCTAAAGTTATGAAGCTATTTCATCAAAGATGCATTAATATTTAAGTAAACATATAAAAAGGTGCTCATCATTCCCTAATAGAGAAATACAAATAAAACCACAATGAGATTCCACTACACAACTCACTAGAATAGCCATAATTATTTTTAAAATTGAAAAATTCAAAGTTTGGGAGGATAGGAAGAAATTGCAACCCTCATACATTGCTGATGAGACTATAAAATGGCACAGCCACTTTGGAAAACAGTTTGGCCGTTTCTCAACAGCCTACTCATATACTTAACCACACGACCCAGTAATTTCACTCCTGGGTATCTAACCAAGAGAAATGAAAACATATGTCACTGTATGTAAATGGTCATAGCAGCATCAATCATAACAGCCAAAAACTGTAAACAACCCAAATATCCATCAACTGGTAAAGGGATAAGCAAAAGGTAGTAACAAACAAACAAACAAAAAATACCCCAGAAAGAAATTAATAATTCATGCAACACGGATAAAACTAAGAAACATAATGCTTAGTGAAGGAAGCTAGATAAAAAGACATATTTATATAATTCCATTTATATGTAAAATGTCTAGAAAAGCCAAAATTAATTAGAGAGAAAGTAGATCATATCCTGGGACAGGAGAAGGGAAAAGAAATTGACTGCAACAAGTATGAAGGACCCCTTTGGAGTGAGGAAAATGTTCTACAACTGGACTGTGGTGATGGCTGCACATCATCATGCTGAATGCTAAGGAAGCGTAAACTGTATAGTATGTAAACTACACCTCAATAAGGCTATAAAAAATTAAGAGGATATATTCTACATAGAATCATAAATGAGTGTTTCTCAGTTCATTTAAAATGAATCCGATGTTAAAATAAATTGCTATTTCTCCCATTACTTAAAATAATCACAATTAAAGATAAGCCTAATGTATAACAACTACTCTTTAGAGAATGCGAAAGTAGTTTTAAGGTGACTATTCACCTCTCTCATCTATTGCTGGTGGAAGGGTAAAATGGTACAACCGCTAAGGAGAACCAGTTTGGCAGTTCCTTAAAAGTTAAATACAGAATTACCATATGACCCAGAAAGTCTAACCCCTAGGTATAAATAGAAGAGAAATGAAAACTTATGTCCATATAAAAATCTGTATATGCATGCTCATAACTGCATTATTCAGGACAGCCAAAAACTGGAAACAGTCTAGGTGTCTCTCAACAGATGAATGGGTAAGCAAAATGTGATACATTCAGCAAGAAAGTATTATCCAACCACAAAAAGGGATGAAGTACTGATACAAGCTACAATACAGATGAACCTTGGAAATTATTACGCTGAGTGAAAGAAGCCAGTCACAAAAAAACATGTACCATATGATTCCATTTATGTAAAATGTCCAGAACAGGCAAATTCAGAAACAGAAAATAGATTCGTAGCTGCCTCAGAGCTGGGAGTGGGGAAGGATAAGAATGGGGAGTGACTGACAAAGGGTATAGGGTTTCTCTTTAGGATCATGAAAATATTCAAAAATTAGATGGCAGTGATGCTGTGTACATGTGCGACTATAGAGAACACTTTAAATGGGTGAATTTTATTGTATGTGAACTGTATCTCAGTAAATCTATTCAGAAAGATGATTACTGTGCTCACTGAGACAGCATATATGCTAAAACTGGAACAATATAAGAGAAGGACAGCATGGTCACTGCACAAGGATGACACACAAATTCGTGAAGCATTCCATATTAAAAAAAAAAAACGATGATTGTTAATGTAGGATTTATTAAAATATCAAAAGTAATTTCAGAGTAAAAATCTGGGCTTCTAATCTTACTTGCTTTTGAGCATGTCTAACATTTATCTAAACAGGTATGTTAGTGTTCAGTTCATTGTGGCTAAATACAAATCATTTTTTAAAAATCAGCTGCAGGCACCCGGGTAGCTCAGTCGGTTAAGTGCCTTCAGCTCAGGTCATGATCCCAGGGTCCTAGGATCTAGTCCCACATCGGGCTCCTTGTTCAGTGGGGAGCCTGCTTCTTCCTCTCCTGTCCCTTCCCCTGCTTGTACTCACTCTCTCTCTCTGTCAAATAAACAAATAAAATCTTGCAAACAAAAACAAACAAAACCACACTTAAAAAAAAAAAAATCAACTGCACTTTTACTCACCAGTAACAAACAGAAAATAACATTTAAAAAATATCCAACAATAAAATGTACCTAGAGAATAAAAGTTAACTTGAAAATTTATTTGAAGACATTAAATATGACCTAATAAACAGGAGGACATACCATATTCATGATAGAAAGACTCAGTATCATAAAATGAAAATTTTCCCCCAAATTCAACTGATTTTAATGCAATGCCGATTGAAATTCAAAAGGTTTTATGAGTTGATATTTGACAAAAGTCACAACACTGCAGATCACTGAAGGAAGAAGGAATCATTCAACAGTGCTGAAAGAATTGGTTATTCATTTGGGGGATAAAAAGAAATTGAATCCCTCCTACACAACATGTAAAAAATAAATTCTAGAGGGATTAAAATTTTAAGTTGAGAATACAAGTCCTTAATATTTTTGAATAAAACATAAGAGACTACCTTTATGAATTCAGAGTACGGAAGATTTAAAACTTAAGACACAGAATAGGGCTAACTATAAAGCATATGATTAATAAATTCAAGTACATTATAATTAAAAACTTCTGTTCATCAACAGACACAACAAGGAAAAATTAAAAAAGATTAACTACAGTACCACAAAGCACATTGCCTAAAAAGAAATAATTACGGTGCCCGGAATATGTGTGTGCGCACACGTGTGTGTATCCTATAACATTTTATTTAAAAATAGGCAAAAGCCTCTGCCTTCGGCTCAGGCCATGATCTCAGGGTCTTGGGATCAAGCCCCGTATCAGGCTCTCTGCTCAGCTGGGAATCTGTTTCCCTTTCTCTCTCTGCCTGCCTCTCTGCCTACTTGAAATCTGTCAAATAAATAAATAAAATCTTCAAAAAAAAAAAAAAAAAGCTTTAAAAAATTTTTTAAAAAAATTAAGCAAAATGTAAGGGTACCTGGGTGGCTCTGTTGGTTAAGCCTTCCGACTCTTGACTATAGCTCAGGTCATGATCTCAGCGTCACGAGACAGAGCCCTATGTAGGGCTCCAGGCTCAGCTGGGAGTCTGCTTGAGATTCTCTCCCTCTCCTTATGCTTCTCCCCCTACTCTTGCTCAGGTGCAGTGTCTCCCTCTCACTTAAATAAATAAATAAATAAATGAATGAATAAATAAATAAAATCTTTAAAATAAAAATAAAAATAGGCAAAATACAAAAAAGTATTCCTGATTAGGGGTGTGAGGGCCTGAGCAGGATGAGGCTGGTACCATGCTGGAATGGAGGGAAAAGTGAGGTGTGGGAGTCAGAGTCCAAGCTTTGGCAGAATGGTGTAGGTTGGAGCAGGATCTGCCCACCAGTGATCTAACAGCAGATGTCAGTGACTGATCAGGGGCAGGAGGGTACCCATAAAAAGATGCACTGTGCGGTGCATGTAGGAATGTAGGAATCCAAACAGGGTGAAGGGGGCCTCCACATGAAGGGTCTTCCAAGCTTAAAGAGAATTTGGGCAGGAGGGTGCGATGGATACGGCAGACTGAGGACACACAGTGGAACTGGTCAAATTAAGTAAACACATTTAGGCTAATGATAGGCAAGTTTCTTACTGTTAGAGAAGGGGATATAAAAAAAGAAAGGGGAAAAATGTGACCAAACTCTCACGTAGGAATGAAATTGGAAGTAGCAGCATGATTGATGAATGACATGTCAAAAGAACACAGAAGGCAACTTTAAAGGAATCCCACTGGCTAAATTGGGGCAAGGTGAGCATCAAAATAAGGAAAAACAGTTACTGATCAGAGCTCACTGAATAAAAGACAGAATCATGAACTCATACTGATACAAATTAATTAATTAAATGAAAGCTTGATGGCGAAGGAGACAGTCACTTAGTTTTAAAGTACCTCTGCACAAAGCAATTATTAAACACAGAGGAAAAATGAGTAATTTCACAGTAGAGAAACATGGCAGACACCATCTTAATCAAGTAATCATCTTAACATACACAGTAACGGGTCACAATGAAAATCGTGTATCACCTGACAAGATACAAAGAGAAGACACAGCGTAACGTCCGTGATATTCCTGCCAAATATACATAACTTGCACGTAATCATTAGGAAACAGCAGCTGAACCTAAAGAAAGAGACATTCTACAAAATAAGTGGCTTATACAGCAGAGTCTTGAAAAGTGCCAAGGTCTTGAAAGTCAAACAAAGACTGCAGAACTGTTCCAGATTGAAGGAGACTGAAAAGATGTGACAAGTAAAATGCAAGCTGTGCTTCTGAACTAGATCCTTTTGCTATAAAGGACATTATTGGGACTACTTGTGAAAATTGAATGAGATCTGAGGATTAGATGGTAGTAATGCATCAATGTTAATTTCCTGATTTTGATGGCTTTATTGTGGCTTATAGGACGATGTCCTTGTTTGTAGGAAGTATACACTCATTTATTCAGGGGTGATGAGGCATCACATCAAGTCTTCAGGGGAAAAATTTTCCTCCTCATTGTGTTATTTAAAAATTTTTAAAATTTTAAAAATAAATATATTTAATGCATAGTTTTGAGTATGTAATGGACAAAAGACATAAATGAGAAATTCATGAAAGAAAAATACCAATGTTGAGTAATCACATGAAAAGATGTTCAATCTCACTGGCAATCACAGAAAAGCAAAATAGTTAAGATGTCATTTTGTAGCTACTATATTCAGAAAAGTTAAGCAGCCTGAGATTTCCAAGTTTTGGCAATGACTTGGTTCACTGGGAGCTTCTGGTTGTTATTGGTGGTATTTAAACTGGCCCAATGATTTGTTAAACAACTGGCATTAATTTGTATAATTGATTAATATACTCATATAATGCTCATAATTCTCTACACCTCTACTTCTAGGTATGTATTCTAGAGTCTTACACATGTGCTCCAGAACACATATAAAAGAACGCAGACATTAGCAATGCTTTTTATTTTTATTTTTGCAATAGCAAAAATATATCTGTATCAATGTACAGATATACATCAATCTCAATATAGAGATACCAAAAACAGGCAAACAAAAATACCCAACAGCAACAACAATCCAGATATCTACCAACAAGAAAATAAATACATTCATACAATGAAGTATTACTCAGCAGTGAAATAAATGAACTACAAACTACATGTGATAATAAATTTCAAAAAAACACAAAGAACAAAAGCAAGTCTCAGAAGACTTAATGCAGAATGCTACCATTTTTATAAAAAAAAAGTAAAATTAAATAGCATATTACTTAAAGACCCACGTGATAAAAGCAGTATTATTAAAAAGTAAATGATAAACACAAACTTGAAGAATGATTGAGGGGTCAGGGGGTCAGGGAGGGCAGTAAGGGCAGCGCCACAGGGAAGAAGAGGCATATGCTGGTAGATGTATACTTTATTAGTCAAGTTCTGGTTCCATGTCGGTTGGTGGATTCTTGGTAGATCATTTCAATATCATGCTTTATAATATAAATATATTCCTGATTGCATAATAAAAAATAAGCTGCCACGCTGTAGCAAAACAGAGTTTTACTTTGATAAGAATATTGTTTAGGTAAGCATCTTAACTTGCACACATGAACAAATGCTAAATTGCTGGGGAACAGATTTTCCTAAATCTCCTCTTCAAAAACAAAAGCAAAGGAGCATATAAAGAGATACACTCCACGGAAATGGAAGGTAGATTTGTAGATAAGAACTTAGAGCTCGGTCAACCAAAGAATGAGGCTAATTCATATCTACTGTCAATTTGGTCTCAAAACTAGCATAAATGCTTGCTTAATTACTGCAAATGTGCAGAACTCTTTCATGGGAGATGGTCACGTTGCAAAAATTACTTAACAGGAGAAACAGGCAAACTGAAGTAATTCAATATACTTCAGGTTCTGACTAGACAGTATTTCCCCTCTAATCCTAAGCATTTCACCTCACTGGTCTTATAGGCTAATGGTCATATATTCATCCTGATTGGCCAAAAGTGTGATGAGAAAAGCCTAACCTACCTTAAAGAGCAAAATTTGTTTGCCCAATAAACAATTCCTTATACTCATAATACAATACTTTGATCTGACAAAACCCATGATAATTCAATTTTCTCAACAACCTTGCATTAGAGGTAAGGCACGTATTATCAAGCAACACTTACTTCATGCAGCATAGTATTTTTAAAAGTTTAAAAATAAGTTAGAAATGTTAATGATGCTCTAAATCAAATTTTCTATCTAAATATTTATTATCTGTAATATAAAAGGTATTTTATAAGGTGCTTCTCAGCATTTTATGTGATACACACAGACTGAAAATCTGGTTAAAGGGCATCTTGGACTAATTCCTCTTCAAAAGAAAAGCCACTCATCCTGATACATTATATATAGTGTGTGTATGTGTGTGTATAATAGCAATTCTTTTTCTGGCTTGGATCACTACTGGATATTATGCCTGAGTCTTACCTATAGTTTGCATAATACTGAGGAAATTGGGATGGGGACGATAGCTTCTTGGTTAACAAACGTCCTTTAGAGGAATTGTTGCATCATGTTATAAAGGGAACAAGCAAAAACTAAATCCATGCACACCATTGGTCCTTGTGGTGCATTTTACTTTTTATGCATATT